CGTCGTCGAACCACTCGTCGTCGTAACGTTCGTCAAAGTCGTCGTCGTGACGCCAGTCGTCCTCACCGCCGACGTTGGAGCCCCAGAGTTTCAGCCATGTTCGTAGGACATGCCAGAGCCCATCCCCTTCTCTCCCCCCCTTCCCCTCCGCCCCATTCCCTCGCCACCCCCCTCACCATCCACTCCCGTCGCCTGCCCGCCCCCTCCTCTGCCCCCTCACCCCACCCATCTTCACCCCTTTCCTTCCGCCCCCTCCCTGCCCCTGTTCCCTCCCTCCGCAACTCCCCTGTCGGCCCCCCCCCCCTCCCGCCTACCCGAGCGAAGGAGCGAGCCTCGCGAACGAGTAGGTGAGGCAGCCAAAGGGCAGGGAGGGAGGCAGGGAGGGAGAAAGAGACGGGGGGAGGAGAGGGATGATGAGGATGAGGATGATGACCAACAGGAGGAGGAGGAGGAGGAGGAGGAGGAGGAGCAGGAGGAGGAGGAGGAGGAGAAGGAAAGAGGGAGGATGCGAATGAAATTCAGCCCGGAAGGGGAAAATGAACTGCCAACGTGCGGACAAGTTTAAAACTCATCCAGAAAAAAAGAAAAATCGACAAAGGCTGCCACGAGAGGCCCTCGATAAGACCACAAATCGTTCTGGATCTGGCTGCCTTTGTGGCCGCGCATGTGGCCACTGCTTTCCCTCATTGATTTGTATCGTTCGTTTCAACCATTCAACTCCTCATCTGGGTACCCGTCGGTCGGAAGAAGCGGGTAGAAGCATTAAGCAGGATGGCGTTGGGAATAGATTGGGCTTCCGCCCGCCCGCTCGACTCCTGAAGCAGGGGGGCGCCTAAAGCAGATCTGGAACCTGCAGCAAAAAAACAGAACTGCCTACTCCGAACGACCGGTGGGTACCTCCTCTGAACCTGTGACGGAGGCCGCGCGCTCGGCCAAGTGGTGAGGGGCAACGCCAGGGGGGGACTGGCATAGGAGGGATGCATCGACCTGGAATCGGCGATACATCGCCGACAGATCGGTGACAGGCCGCCGATAGCGAAAGGGCACCCTCCTGGGCGGGGTGGGGCTATCAGACCTCTATCGGCGACCAACGGGCGATCAGGGGTCGATGCATCCCCCCTGTGCCTATCCCCCGCCATCGTTGCCCCTGAAGTGGGGGGGGGGGAGGCGGGACGGCCGAGGGCGAGGAGCCTGAGAGCGAGGAGCCCGAGGGCGAGAGGCGGAGGGCGAGGGGGGGCAGAGGGCGACATGGGGGAGAGCAAGCCATGGCGGGGGCGGGGCGGGGCGGGGCAGGGCGGGCAGGAATCAGGGCGGGCAGGGTGGCAGGGCAGGCAGGAAGGAACCAAGGCGGGAGCGGGGCGGGGCAGGGGCGGGGCAGGGCGGGCAGGCAGGCAGACGGACAGGCAGGGATCAGGCGATTCTAAGTCCTCCTCGTTCTCCTCCTCCGTCCTCTAGGATCCCCACCGTAACATCGGCAGCGACGGTAGTGACGAATAGCCCAGGGGCGGGCATCACTCGTCATCGCCCAGGAGCCTCACCGAAGGCGTGGACCCTCGGCGCCCCTTAATACATCATGTGTTGCCCTCCCCTGGGCTATGCGCCCAAATCATCGCCCCCGAAAAAAAAACCTTTGGTGTGCGGACTGAGGGGACGCAAGGTGGCCAGATCCGAGCCCGCAAGCAGCCGCTAACGCATCGCGCTCAGCGATCGGGGGGGCCCCGATGAGCCCGCACCAAGGGTCACTCCGGCGAAGGGTACTCTCACGCGTAGCCGAAAAGGGGGAGGGAGGGTGTTTCTTTTCCGGCGCTCCTCTGGGAGAAGAGGGAGGAAAGCTGACGGGAACGAGAGCGCGAAGCACGATGCAGAACAATAGCGTCGACAGCGCACTGAGCCGACTCAACAGGCTGTCCTACGAGCGTGAGAAAGAAGGGGGAGAAAGGGAGCACCCGTGCGATCGGAAAATCCGACTCGGGCGAGCTGGTCCGAAGGCGCTTCACGGTGTATCGGCACTGAAGCCGAAGCCAAAGTTGAAGTGCACAGAGAAATTGAGAGCGCCCCACTGCAGGTTTGGTTGACAGTACATCATTGAGCGGTGCTGCAGCCTCCCCTGAGCACAGTGCAGCGGAGGGGCACGGTGAATCGGGACGGGGTACCCGGATGGCTTGGGGACGGAACGCTGGTGGGATGGAGGAAAACGGAACTGAAGAGAGGGGGAGTCCAGAGCACCAGACTTGACACTCGCCCCTTCCACTCTTCCACTACGCAGAAGAAGGCACCGACACTCCAACACCATGCCTGACCAGGGCCGTCCTGGGATCACCGCGGGCCCAGGATGGATCCGACGATGTGATTTTTCAACCCGCGGGGCCAAGAGGTCCCGAGACCCCTTCCCTGGAGACAATCTTTCCGGTCCCAGAGGATCATATCTGTGGATGGCCTCAGCGCCAGAAAACGGCCCCCAGAAGCCGAAATGAAGGAGAAACGCCAGAATTGAAAAATCCAATCCGTCCGATGTCTGGGAACGTGCCTTGTGCCTTCTGCGGATCCGTGCCCGCGGCGGCAGTGGAGCGGCGATCCTCCCCGTTGATCAGCGAGACCAGCAGCGGATCGGTCCGGAACCTGGCGCGAGGCTCCGGGCCGGGCCAGGCGCGCCTGACCGAAGGAGGAGGAGGAGGAGGAGGAGAAGGAGGAGGAGGAGGAGGAGGAGGAGGAAGGAGGGGAGGGAGGAGGAGGAGGAGGAGGAGGAGGAGGAGGAGGAGGAGGAGGAGGAGGAGGAGGGCGGAGGAGGAGGAGGAGGGAGGAGGAGGAGGAGGAGGGGAGGGAGGAGGAGGAGGAGGAGGAGGAGGAGGAGGAGGAGGAGGAGGAGGAGGAGGAGGAGGAGGAGGAGGAGGAGGGGGAGGAGGAGGAGGAGGAGGAAGGAGGGAGGGATAATGGAGGGATGAGGAAGCCAGAAAAAGCCAGGAATGATCATGATCATGATGATGAGATGGTGATAATGATGATGCTGATGATGTTGCTGATGACGATGATGAGGATGATGATGATGATGCTGATGATGATGGTGATGGTGATGATGGTTGTGAGTATGATAATGATGGTTACGGTTATGATCATGCTGCTGATGATGCTGATGATGATGATGCTGATGCTGATGCTGATGATGATGATCATGATGATGACGAAGATGAGGATGATAATGCTGATGATTATGGTGATGTTGTTGATGATGATGATGGTGGTGATGATGATGATGGTTATGATGATGATGATGATGATGATGATGATGATGCTAATAGTGTTGTTGTTGATGATGATGATCGCACTCCCCTGAGCGCGCCAGAGAGTCGGGCAGATCAGCTGCTCCCTGCCGCGGGCCTCCTGATGAGCATGCTCCGCACGACACGCCCCTTCTTGGCGATGTGGCGGGCACGCGCGCGCAGGAGAGGCAGCAGGCAATCGGGCCCGTACCTGTGCGAGCTCCTCAAGGTGTTAAATGTGGCAAGAAGCAGGTCGTGGACGAGAAACATAGAGAACAACTGCTGACTAGAATGGCACGGCATGGTGCACAGCATACGCGCATCATGATGATGATGATGATGATGATGATGATGATGATGATGATGATGATGATGATGATGATGATGATGATGATGATGATGACGACGACGACGACGATGACGATGACGATGCTGGTGGTGATGAGGATGCTGATGATGAGGAGGAGAAGGAGGAGCAGGGAGGAGGAGGAGGAGGAGGAGGAGGAGGAGGAGGAAGAGGAAGAGGAAGAGGAAGAGGAAGAGGAAGAGGAAGAGGAAGAGGAAGAGGAAGAGGAAGAGGAGGAGGAGGAGGAGGAGGAGGAGGAGGAGGAGGAGGAAGAGAGGGAGGAGGCGGGAGGAGGGAGGAGAGGCGGAGGAAGGGTGCTTCCGCCTCTGGCGCAGGCAAGCCTTGGGCGGGGGCGGGGGGCGCAGAGCTTCTGGGCGCGCTGGTAGCACCGCAGAGGGAAGGGGCCCCGCGGTCTGTCGGGAGGGGCGCCAAGGCACCTCCACAACTCCAGAGCTTCCCTCAACGTCGGCACGCGGCCCTCCTCGGCCATCCTCCTCCTCCTCCTCCTCCTCCTCCTCCTCCTCCTCCTCCTCCCTCCTCCTCCCTCCTCCTCCTCCTCCTCTCCTCCTCCTCCTCTCCTCCTCCTCCTCCTCCTCCTCCTCCTCCTCCTCCTCCTACACCTCCCACCGATCGGCACCTCCCCTGGAGGCCTCCCAGATCCGGAATCCAGAGATCCGACGCTCCAGCAAAAAATTGGGCGGCGCTTTTGTTGCTGGTTTCGGCCTCCTCCCCTGGGGGCCTCCCAGACCCAGAGATCCGACGCTCCAACCAAAATTTGGGTGGCTGGTTTTTTCATGTTTTCGGCCTCCGGGGGCCCTCGCCGGGCCTCGGGACCGTCAAAAAATGGCTCAGGACGACAAGCCGGCCCTAGGAAACCGCCCCACGCGTCGAATGGATGACTGGGCATGGGGTCCGAGCAGATGGGGTTGGAGCATCGCGCCGCGTCCCCGATACGTCGCCGCTGCATCGGCGCTGCCTCGGCGATGCACCAGGGACGTCGGCGATCCATCGGCGCCGTCGGCGCGGTGAGAAATCGGGCTCCACATTGAGACGCATCGCCGATGCATGGGCGATGCGGCGCGATCCTCCGACCCGATCTACTTCGACCCCATTTGGGAGGCGTAACTTGGCCACTCCATCCTCCGACCCCGCCCACTCCGACCCCATTCGGGAGGCCTGGAGAAGGGCACCTTCGCGGCCCAGGCCGCGACGCGCGACGCACGATGACCTTCGCGCCCCGAGGGTGACCCAGCTTTCCTCCGAGCCCTCCCGGCTCTGAGGGCCGAGCGGAGGCGGCCGCCTCCGCGCGGCCCGCCGCGCTGGGGGGGGGGGGGGCGCGCGAGGGGGGCCAGCTGGCGGCCCGTGCTGGACGCCGCACGGTCCTCTGGCGGCCTGCCTCACACGTCGATCACGTCGGCGGCGGCCGGCCGCGCGGGAGGCTTGCCTGCGGGCCCCGGCAGCAGGACATCACCACCACCACCTCCGTTCCCCATCCCTCCTCTGCCCTCCTCTCCTTCACCTCTTTCCAGGGAAGGGCAGGGGATGAGTGAGGCGGTGTTGATGTTGGTGTTGGTGTTGGTGTTGGTGCTGGTGTTGGTGTTGGTGGCGGTGGTGGTGGTGGTGGTGGAGGACGTTGTGGTGGTGCACCGTATAATTCTGGGCCCCGTATTGCCTGCCCCGGGCTGCTCCCAGCACGTCTGGCGGGTGGCCGTGTTCCAGTAGTACGTCTGCCCCGTCGCTGGGTCCAGCGCCGCCTGCCACTCCCCCCTTCCGAGGACGCTGCTTACACAACAGCACTAATCCGGGCCGGGCCCTGCCCTGGGCCGGGGACTGGTGCACCACGCTCGGGGCGGAGGCAGGCAGGCCAGAGGCAAGATCTGGTAGAGGTGCCCCAGGATCTCTGAGAGCCGGCGGGGTCCAGAGCATGCACCCGGCGCCGCGGCCGTTCCAAAGCGGCCCGAGAACGCTCTGAGAGCGGTCCGGAGCGCTCTGGCGCGATTTGTCCTTGTCCTAGCTCTTCGGCCTGCCCGAAGGCATGGGCACCGGTCCTGGGCCCCAGTGAGGGGCAACGGTAGGGAGGAGGACTGGCTCACGGGGGGAGCTTCGAGCTGGGATCGGCGATACATCGCCGATAGATCGGCGATAGGGCCCCGATAGCGAATCCGCGTGCTCTTGGGAGGGGTGGGCTATCAGGCCCCTATCCGCGACGAGTGGGCGGTTGGGGGTCGATGCGATCTCCCCTGAGTCCGTCCACCCCTGACGTTTCCCCTGTTGGCCTGGCCTGGGTCGGCTCTGGTGTGCAGCTTGCGCCCTCCGGCCTCCCAGGACTGGGTCCGCTGCCGGGGCTGGACCTCGGAGCGGCCCGCGGGGGGGGCCCCGCCTGCCGCCCCTGCTGCTGCTGGGCGAGCTCCTGCAACCTCTGCATGACAGACATCTTCTGCTGCGGCTGGGTCGCCTGGTCGCGGGCGCTCTGGGCAAAGCTATCCATCTTCTCCTCCAGCTCTTTGGCCAAGCTGCCGTCGATCAGCTTCTTGATGTAGGTGGGAAGCTTCAGGATGAACCCCGGCGCGCGCACGAGCAGGTCGGCGTACAGCTGCGTGTAGACGAAGGGGCTACCGAAGCAAGGGCTCTGCGGCACGCAGCGCATCGGGATGCCCAGGAGGTCGAAGTAGGACTTCGACTGCATGCCGAAAAACATGCCCCAGGGCCCTACCCAGCCCTTGTAGTAGGCGAGAAGGAAGACGATGCCAAAGACCACGGGCTTGCACTTTGCCAGCACCGGGAGGCGATCGGTCAGGAACTTGTCCGTCGGCGCCTTCTCGCCTCCGAGCCCGCCGAACAGGCTCGGAGCGCCGCCGCCGCCGCCGCCGACACCGGCGGCCCTCCTGCCGCCCGCGCCCCGCCCGTGCCTGCCGGGAGGCCACACGTGAACCCACCCCCTGCCGATCCAAGCGCTGAGGGAGGGGGCAGGACTCCTTTTGAGGGGCAGCGACAGGGGGGGACTGGCTCAGGGGGAGAGCATCGCACGGTCCTGGGCGGGGTGGGCTATCGGGCCCCTCTCGCCGCTCAATAGCCGAGTGGGGGTCGACGCATGACCCCCTGAGCAGGAGGCAGGAGACAGGAGCGCGCTGAGTCCGCCGGTCGGCCGGCGGGCCCCCTAGGAGCAGCGCGGGTGGGCCGGAGCCCGGTTACTGCATGTGGTGGAGGAAGGCGTCTTCCCAGCTGTCCCATAATTTCTGGTCACAAGCATATTCTAACCAATGTTTAGTGATACTCCCAGTGGTAATTTGTATAAGCTGTGATATGTCGTCGCACCATCGCTTGCGTTGTCGTCCATGTCTGCGCTGTGCTATTCGATTGTCGTGGACTTCCGGCTCCCACGCTGCCGCAAGCCTTGTCCATCTAAGGTTCGAGTGTGTTGCCACTCGCTTTGCCCACCGCCATTTTCGTCTGTAGTATACTGTTGTTCACTCGTCCACGTGAAAGCGGGCAGCGAGATCTGTAGCCGCATGTGTGGCTCTGGATGCTGAGCGTATCCCCACAAACGTTGCCTCTGACATCTGTGGGGGGTGAGAGACTGCGAGCGGCCACGAGCGAGGCGACCCCCCACCAGCGACCCCCCCCACCAGTCCAAGAACCGATGGGCTGCGGCAAAGGAGGGCTCGGACTTCTCTGGGGCGACAAACACATCCGCTTCCACGGCCTCGCGGACTGGGCCCCTGGGCCGCGACCCCGCGCATACGGAGCGTTTTTGTCCGCCGCTGCCCCGCGCGGAACGTGCCCGTGGGACCGCGCATCCGCGGGATCGCGCCCAGGGGTCCAGACCTCGAGGGCGTGGATGTTCTAGACACGTTCGCCGCTCGTGAGCTGCATCATCGAGCCTGCTCGGCTCGACGTCCGAGCGGGCCCGAGCGCCGCGCAGCCCCGGCGCGGCCCGCGCCGGCCCCTGCGGGCCCTCGCCCGCCCGCCAGAGCGGCAGCGGCCGGGCGCACGCTGGCGACGCCGGCGCGGTCGCCCGCAGCAGAGCCCACGCGGCAGCAGCGGCTGTGAGCACGGGGGCGCGCGCGCGCCATCGCGCGCACGCCACGGCCGCGCGGGCCATGCCACCCGTTGCTGCCCCCGTCGATCACCCCCTCTCGGGCCCCGGGGCCGCTCTCGGCAGCTGGCCTGGCAGCCACGCCACGGTGCGGTGATCGGTCCGACGGCCTCGGGTGCTCCGACGGGCGCCGCGCGTCTAGGAGGAGGAGGACGAGGAGGACGGAAGATCGGTTTAGCTGGCTTACGTGCTGCAAGAAGGGCGACGTGCAGAGGAGCAGTGGGCCCATCCGGAGCAGCTCGAGCGCCTCCAGCTCTTCGCGTCCTGCTGAGAGACGGCCAGGTGTCATCGAACTGGCTTACCCCGAGATTCCGCGGCGACGATCTGTCCTTCTCTCTCTGTCTCTCTCTCTCTCTCTCTTCCTCTCTCTCCATCTCTCTTTTCCCCTTTCTTCTTCTCTCTCTCTCTCTCTCTCTCTTTCTCTCGCTCTTTTTTTGTTATCACTCTCTCTCTCTCTCTCTCTCTGGCGGCTCCGTGTTCCGTGCTCGCCCCCGCCGCCCCGTCGCCGCCTCGTCGCCGCCCGTCGTCTGGACGGGGTTGTCGGTCTAGCAGCTCCGTGCTCGCCGTCGTCGCCCCGTCGCCGCCTAGGCCTAGAGTGTCCTCTAGAAAAAAAAAAGATCTACGCCACCTCCCCTCCAGATTACATATGATCCTGCCCCATCGTTTCTATTCGATACGAATTCATACAATCCAAACCATACCCCCTTTGTCAACCCCATCTTGGTCCCTGTCGAGACAAACTATGCGCGCGCACTCGACTATCAAAAACCCGAAGAAATTGAAAATACCTGCCAAGGGAAAAAAATGACGATGTCGACGAGGGCGCGTCGCCGCGCGTGCATGTCGAATTCGCTCGAACGTCTTAGGGTCCGTCGTGATTTTGACATCGAGCTTCCCGACCGCACATACAACAACAACTCCTTTGCAACACTTATATATAAAGACATACATACATACATTCATACAGACATACATACATACGGACATACATACAGACATACATACATGCATAAATGTGTGTTGCGTGTGCGTGTGCGTGTGCGTGTGCGTGTGCGTGTGCGTGTGCGTGTGCGTGTGCGTGTGTGTGTGTGCGTGTGTGCGCGAGAATATGTGTGTGTGAATATGTGTGTGTGCGTGCGCGAGGCACTCTTGCGAAATCCTTGCGAAAACAATCGGTTCACAACTTGCTTGTCAATTGCGACCAAATGGGCGTCTCGCGCGCGCATGCCGAGACCATTCGGACACCCTTGCACGCTTGCTGGGGGGGGGGGGGGGCTCGACCCCTTTCAAAGAATACCATGCGGAAAACTTGCGCCCGTCGGCCGCGGCGCGAACATGTCGAAATCCTCTCAAAACTCTCATCGCCGACACGTCGGCACCATCATCACCATCGGCGTGAACAGCATCGGCGACATCATTGGCCTTGCCGTCGTCATCGTCATCATCTTCACCAGCATCGATACTATTACCATCGTGTCTGCCTTTGTTGACGTCGCCATGATACCGCGCACGCTCGAGTTACTCACTAGCACTGAAAGGCACGCGCGTCAGCGTGGCCTGCAAGACGCGCTGGGGAGTCCCCAGCGGTCAACGCCATCGCGGCCGCGTCGATCGCGACAGACTAACCAGCCACTCCGCGCGTGAGCCTGCGCGCGCCAGCGCGGCCGAGACGATGCGCCAGCCAGCGCAAGGCAGTCATCGCAATCGCAGCGGTATGGGTTTTGCAAACCAAGTTGCCGGTGGGTGGCTGTGCCGATTCCCCGGATGATTGCGCGCGCAGCAGGATGGACAGCTCACTAGTGAGCCTTGGTTGATTCTCGTTCCTGAGGAAAGTAGATCGACTCCCTGTAGACCGCATGCGTTAAATGTGGTTCCGCCCCAGCGCTCATCTTAAATATGACTTCGGACCATCCCAGAACAGGCGGTATCGCCCCCCTTTCATCCTTGTCAAATAATACGACGCGCGCGCTCGTTTATCGAAAACCTTCAGCTTTCAAAACTCATTCTAAAAGCAATGCGACAAGGTCGGCACTCGCGCGCTGTCGCGTGCGCGTGCCGGAATCCTTCACAAACTGTTGCTTGCGCATGATATCAAGACCGATGTTCCCTAACATCTCTGAGGGGGAGGACAATGGCCTCGCGCCGTGAATTTCTATAAAAACAGCACGCGATCTGGCGAAATCTCAAGGCAACCATCAGATTCTGAACATGTCCATCAAGCGCGAACAAGATGGCCTCTCGCGCGCGCGTGCTGGGATCATTCGAACGCTCTTGCGCGCTTGATAATGGGGCGAAATCCCTGTCAAAGAATACCATGCGGGCGACGCGCGCCCGTCGGACGCGCGCGCATGTCTAAATCTCTCCAAAAACTCCATCGCCGACAAGTGGGCACCATCATAGCCAACGGCGTGATCAGCATCGGCGCCGTCGATGGCCTTGCCGTCGTGATCGTCATCATTGTCACCCGCATCGCTATCATCATCGCGTCTGCCGTCGTCGACGTCGCCATCGTGCTGCGACCGCCGAGTCACCGACTCGCTCCGAAGTGCCCGCGCGCCAGCGCGGCCTGCGAGACAGGCTGGGCCGCCCCTGGCGGTCGGCGCCACCGCGGCGGCGTCGGTGGCGCCAGACTGGCTGGGCGCTCTGAGCGCGAGCCCGCGCGCGCCAGCGCGCCCGCCGCGATGCGCCAGCCAGCGCCAAGCAGTCATCGTAATCGCCGCCGCATGGGTTTTGCAAGTGCGCGAGCAGTAGAGTTGGCAACTCACTGCGAACACTGCAATGTCACCGCATAGATCCCACAAAAAGGAACGCGCACCCACCCACCCGCCCTCATCGCCCCCCGCCCCCCCCTGGGATAAAAGAATTGGCGCATGATGCCACCCCGTCGTTCATCTGACACATGCATTCGCACCGGCCCAGGCAGGCCGCCATCAGCCCCTCATGCCTGACAAGTGGGAATGCGCACATACTCTCGTCAATCAAAATCACACATGCTCAGCCATTCCCTGCAACGCCATACTCGCGCGTCGTCGCGCGCGTGCCGAAATCATGTAAAAGTCATCGGTTTCGACAAGACTTCAAGATCGCCCCCCGGAGCGATAGAACAGAAACCAAAGCAGTTACAACATGAACCTTCAAACACAATTATGATTCAACCCTCGCTAAATGCGACCAAGCGGGCCTCTCGCACGTGCACGTCGAGATCATTCGAACCCCCGCGCGCGCTTGCTAGGCGGGCGCGACCCCTGTCAAATGATACCACGCGGGCCACTCGCACCCGTTATGTCCAAATCCGCCCGGAAACTTCGGAACGAACGCGTTGACACCATCATCGTCATCTGCGCGGGTCAGCATCGGCGTCGTCATTGGCCTTGCCGTCGTCGCCGTCATCATCGTCACCAGCATCGCTGCTATCATGATCGCGCCTGCCTTTTCGACGTCACCATGATGCCGCGCGCGCACGAGTCACCGACTCGCACCGGTGTGCCCGCGCGTCAGCGCGGCCCGCGAGACGCGCTGGGAAGTCCCCAACGGTCAATGCAACCGCGGCCGCGTCGGTGGCGCCAGACTAGCTCTCCGCTCTGCGCGCAGAACCTGCGCGCGCTAGCGCGGTCATGGCGATGCGCCAGCCAGCGCCCAGCAGTCATCGCAATCGCCGCCGCATGGCTTTTGCAAACCAAGTTGCAGGCGAGTCCGGGTGGGGCGATTGCGCGAGCAATGGAATTGACAACTCACTGCGAACTCACATCAAATGCACAACATAAACTGCTCCACGAAGACTGCACCTCATTGATGTGTATACATATAGATCTATCGGAGGTTGGGGGGCGTGAACGGAAGTGACCCCAATCGGAAAATCGGTTTCGGTTTCGGTTCGCGTCGCGCGCGCGGGCGAGGCGAAGCTGCGCGAGTTCCTGCACTGGTAGAAGCCACATGGAGCGCAAGAGGCCGCCCGTCCCCCCCGGCCGGGCGGGCCTCCCGATGGTTGTCCGGATGGTTGTCCCGATGGTTGACCCGATGGTCGCCCCGATGGTTGCCCCGATGGTTGTCCCGATGGTTGTCCCGATGGTTGTCCCGCTGGTTATCCAGATGGTAGTCCCGATGGTCGCCCCGATGGTCGCCCCGATCGTTGCCCCGATGGTTGCCCCGATGGTTGCCCCGATGGTTGCCCCGGTGGTTGTCCCGATGGTTGCCCCGATGGTCGTCCCCATGGTTGCCCCGATGATTGTCCCGATGGTTGCGCCGATGGGTGTCCCGATGGTTGTCCCGATGGTTGTCCCCATGGTTGTCTCGATGGCTGTCCCGATGGCTGCCCCGGTGGCGGCCCCGATGGTTGCCCCGAAAGTTGCCCCGATGGTTTTCCCGATGGTTGACCCGATGTTTGTCCCGATGGTTGCCCCGGTGGTTGCCCCGATGGCTGACTCGATGGTTGCCCAGCTTGCTGCCCCGATGGCTGCTCCGACGGTTGCCCCGGCGGTTGCCCCGATGGTTGCCCCGACGGTTGACCCAATAGAGAGGTCGGTAGATAGGTAGACCGAGAGATGGATAGGTTGCTTGACTTGTCGATGGAAACATGGAACGATACATAGAGTTACTAGATCAGAAGCAAGCGGAAGTAGGTGGCATCTACTTGCTGGCGCAGTCTTTGGCGCGGCAGGTGGGAGTCATCGCGCATCGACCGCCTCCTCGCCCCCCCATCAGACTCCTTATCGCCCGAATGGGTGGTCCTATCGGCATATGTGCATTCACTTGCGCGCGAACGACGAAATCCTTACAAAACCTCCATCGCCGACGCGCGGGCACCATCATCGCCATCGGTGTGATCAGCATTGGCGCCGTCATTGGCCTTGCCGTCGCCACCGTCATCATCGTTGCCATCATCGCCAATCGCTACTATCATCATCGAGTCTGCTCTTGTCGACGTCGCCAAAATACCGCGACCGCCCGAGCCACCGACCCGCGCCGATGCGCCCGCGCGTCAGCGCGGCCTGCGAAACGCTCCGCAA